ACTAATGACATAGCATATATGAGGTCCTAGGTGCAATACCCAGAATTACAAAAATAGCAGTATACTAAAAGTACATGTCTAGTTACAAATACAAGTGGAAAAACAGCAACAAAATATAAATAAGATTAGACATGGTAGTACATATCTATAGTCCTGTTACTCAGAAAGCCAAGGGAGGAAGATCATGAATTGAAGGCAACCTTGGAGTACAGTGTGTTCCAGGACAAACACATCAATAAAGTGAGACCGTCCCAGTTCTTGACCTCAGAAAAATAAAAGTTTTTGTGCATATGACAATATTAGAAGAAACAGTTACTTGAAAGTTTGTGATTCACATAAGAAGTTCTAGCAGTTGGAAAAGTAGGCTAGTCATAAAGTGCTTGTTTCATAAACATTTTAATCCCACATGAAAAGCTGAGAGCATGCTTGTAATACCAGCTTTGATATGGTAAGCTTAGGAAATGGCTGGAGTTTGCTGGCCAGCTGTTCTAGCCTAATTGAGGAACTTTAAATCAGCGAGATCCTCTCCTCTCCAAAGAGCTGGACAGCATTTCTGAGGATGACAGCCAGTGCAGACTCCATTCATAAATGTGGATCTGAACACACACATGAAAGAAAAGTATAATTGGAAGGGCAACATGATGATGACAGTATTGTCTCCAGTTTTGTGTTTATCATACATATGCATAGATTTGTCTGTCAGTGATCATCAGAATCTGTATTGCTTGACTTTCTTTAGTTTTGTGGTGGAAATACAAGATTGGTTTAATTCTTTGAGACAATTTTTAGTTTTTCCGAGACAGGGTTTCTCTGTAGCTTTGGAGCCTGTCCTGGCACTAGCTCTTCTAGACCAGGCTGGCCTCGAACTCACAGAGATCTGCCTGCCTCTGCCTCCTGAGTGCTGGGATTAAAGGCGTGTGCCATCCGGAGTAGCCCAGGCTATCCTTGAACTCTTAGTCCTCCTGGAATACAATAATGATAATAATAGTACAACAACAACACCCATCTTAGCATTGTGGCCACGTCGGGAGCCTCCCAACCGACCAGTGACTACAGTTATAGAGGTTTCAGTGCTGCTCCCTTCTGGCCTTTCACAGGCACCTGCACACACTAAATAAAACTAAAAACAAAAACAAAACTGCCAGGGCAGCTCTCACCTATAATTCCCAAACTTGTGAGGTGAGGATGGAAAGATGGATGAGTTTCAGGTTTGCCTGGGTTTTTTTTTTTTTTAAGAGAGAGATGTGTTTATTTACTAAATGTACAATGGTGTTTTTCCTGTATATATCTGTTAAGAGTTTCTGGAGCTGAAGTTACAGACATTGGTGAGCTGCCATGTGTGTGCTGGGAATTGAACCTGGGTCCTCTGGTAGGGCAGCTGAAGACCATTGAGCCATTTCTCCAGCCCTTGCCTGGGCTTTTTAAAGAAGCCGTCTCCAAAATCCAAAGGTTGGGGACTATAACGTTAGAGTATTTGCCTGGCATTTTACTAGGCCCTGGGTTTAATCTCTACCACTAAACAGATAAGTAAACAAAGAACAGACACTACGTCCACACATCTTTCAGAACACAATATTTGACAACTTTTAGTGTTAATTGGTGAAATACATTATAAAAAACTATATATTACTATTTTCATATTGTTTGTTAGTATCAGATTCTGTTTATTTATTGTATATGTGTGTGGGAGTGTGTGCCATGGTGCATTCCAAGGACAACTTTCAAGTCTGTTCTCTTCTTCTACTTCGTTTTTCAGTCATACTTGGGTCATCCAGTTTGTGAGCAGGTACCCACTGGGCCGTCTGGAAGGGGTGCTGCTTTGGCTTTTTATGTTCACATGGTTATTTATGAACATTTCTGCAGCTTCAGATTGTTTTTTATCAAGTCTTTTATTAGACTTTTAGATTTTATAGATAACTTTTTCACTTAGTGTGTAGCAGTGTCCTGAATTAGTAAAAACGAAAAAACAATAGAATCATTTGACATCAGATAGTAGAAATAGTGTAATTTCTATGTTGAAAAGTTTTCTTTTGTTTTTAAAGAATAACCAGATATGCAGTTGATTACTTTGTACTAGACATTGTGCTAGGCATTCAAAAGATACTGAAAGTTAAGCTGATTTAGTTTTTATAATTTCCGTTATATATTTATGGAAAAATTTGAAATATAGTAATGAGTAGTCTGTCCAGAAGAGAACATATGATTGAGCAGCTGTCCAAGTGCCCTTCCCCCTTCTTTTTTACCCTCCCTTTCCCTTAACATTGACCATATATTTTTATTGTACAGAATAGTTACTTACTTAAAATTGCTTGTTTATAACTGCTTGTGTCTCGGTAAAAGATTGTCATGTTAGGGCTCTTGATAGTACAATGTAGTGGGAACTCAAATACTTGCTTCTGTCATTTAATTTTTCAAACATAGGATATCTTTGTCAAAGAAGCAACCTCCTTTTAAAAATTTTATTATTGATTTACCTATTTTATGTGTATGAGTGTTTTGCTTGCTTCTGTGTCTATGTACAATGTTTGTACCTGATGCTCAAGCTGGTTAGAAGGAGGACATTGGATTCCCTGGAGCATGAGTTATGGATGCTTGTGAGCCACCATGTGGGAATCAAACACAGGTCCTCTACAACTGTAGCAAGTGTTCTTCCCCTCTGAGCCATCTCTCCAGCCCCAGAAACAACCTTCTTCATGTTCCTTTATTATGTTTAGAGTATTTAGGGTGAACTTATAGTAACTCCATGCCTTGAGGAGTTTCTTCAAGTACTTAATGCCATGGTGGTCATTAGTGATGCTAAGCTTCTATCTGAATGACAGGTGTTTGGGGCTTTATTCTAGTAACAGTATTGTAGAACTTCCAGTTGTTAGTTATGTATGTAAACCTGCGTTCTCTCTCTCTCTCTCTCTCTCTCTCTCTCTCTCTCTCTCACACACACACACACACACACTATCTGTTGAATTTTCTTGCTCTTTTCTAGGAATGCCAAAATAATTTTGAGATTTTTGTGATTAAGAACTGCCTTTAGAGTTAGACCTTGATCCGGATATATGGAACTAAATTAAGTCAGTTTTAGTGGAAAAGCTTTAAAATAAGGAACTGAAGGATATTTTGGATACTTGGAATCCTGTCAGCATTCTTTCTTAGAGCTAGGTAGTAACATGACAGACTTTTTATTAGATTGCCATACTAAATTCTAAAGACATGGGCTCGATCCATAGGAAAGGAGATGGAAAAGGGACAAGGTCAGAGGTGACATTAGTGATGTTTAGAGTGGAAAAGAAAGAAGTCATTAGTGATTTTGGAGGGACAAGGTTGTATTTTTTTATGTAATTCACCAGCAAGTATGTGAATGCTTATTTATTGATTCTGCCCAGGATGCTTTCCACATTCATGGAAAATCTGGGAACAAGTGTTATGTTTGGGTGTTCAACTTATACATGTATTTTTGGGTCAAGTTATATGCCACAGACATGGCATAAAAAAGTTTTATATGGTCCTCATGATATTTTTTTAGGATTATAGGTAGTATATTTTCATTAGTGTTTAGAAAAAGGATATTAAGGGTTTGGCAAGATTGTATTTTTCTGCCAATGTTGGAAAATATCATTTTACTTTCTTACTTTTAAATAATTACATTTAGACTGTCTTCGTTGTGTTCTTGGAAGAAAAATCTTTCTGAATTTCATCTGCATAAACTTGAGTAATCATTATACCCAGGTAGGTCAATCCTAGTTAGTAAGATTTAAATAGAATCTAGGAATGTGCTAGGATATGAGTTAATTTTGCAACAGTCATTCTGAACTTTCAGGACAGAACAGTACTGTAGTAGACATGCCATACTGTAGTTGAGTAGCACATCTGTAATTTTAAGTATGCAAATGGTATTGGAAAATGTGGATTTCAACCAGAGTCTGTTTATTACTGCTAAGTAGGATTATCATAAGAACACAAAATTTAGCTAATAAAGATAAAATGAGAAAACCTATAATGGCCTAAAACACTAAAGTTTTAGATGTAACTCATCCAGATCTCCTTGGTTGTGTTAGATACAAAGTTTATATTATAATCTTTCGTAAAATTTATCATTTTTCAATTGTTTTTTTTTTTTTTTTTTTTTTACTTAGCCGTAGAACAAATTAGAGATGGGTCTTTAAACATGTATTAGTGGGCTGGAGATGTTGCTGAGGTGTTGAGAGCACTTGGTGATGTTGCAGAAGACTCGGGTTCAGTTTTCAGGACCCACATAGCAGCTTAAAACTGTGGATAACTTCAGTTCCAGGGACTCCAGTACCTATTTTTAGTCCCTTGGGCACTAGGTATGTAGATTGTATATACATGTATGCAGGAAAAAACACTCATCTATAAAAATAAACATACGTGTGTGTGTGTGTATATATATGAGGCATTCCGAATATTATTTTCAACATTGAATTTAGACGTATAGTTAGCTTTAGTTAATGATTGGCATGTATTCTGCCAGTTTTATCATTAGTAAGTAAACATCCTAGAGTGTACCTACACAGACTGAGGCAGTAAAGTATATTTACTACACAGTTTACATATACGCATATGATGCATGGGGTTTAGCCTGTGCCCCAGCTTGCAAACCTATATAGGTTGTCACTGTATTGAATACTGTTGAAGTTAAAGTGTTTTGTATCTTTATGTAGAAAAGGCATACTTGTGTGTTAGGTGCTTACTTCATGAAGGTGGTATACATGACTCTTTATGAAGCAATGTAATTCATTTATCCCAATACTTTTCATTTAAAAAAAAAATCAGGCAACAATTAAAAAAATTAATGGCCATGGTGAAAGACCAAAAGTGGTTCATCAAAAGGTGGTTGGTTTTATTTTCCACTTATATTATTTTCATCAATCTCATAGCTTCATGAATTTGAAATCTGATATGCTAGAAATTCGTGTGACGATTTAGTTAAAGGAGTGTGTCAACCCAAATTAGTTTCAATAATTAAAAAAAAATCTTATGTTTTTTAGCTAATGGGAATGACAACAAGAAATTTAAAGGAGATAGACCTCCCTGTTCGCCTTCCCGTGTTCTCCATCTTCGCAAAATTCCATGTGATGTCACCGAAGCAGAGGTCATATCATTAGGTCTACCATTTGGCAAAGTAACTAATCTTTTGATGTTGAAAGGAAAAAGCCAGGTATGTAATATTTAAAGATCGACACTGAGTGATTATCTTCTGGGTGTTAGTATTTCACGTAATTTTTGTTTTCCTGAACTTAAGAATTAAGTAGTTGATTTGAGACAGGGTCTTTACTGCTGTGGCTGGTGTCAAATTCATAAGCTCAAGTGACTTTCCTAAACTTTAGCCCTCCAAGTATCTGGGATCTCAGGGGTATGTGTCACCATGCTGCTAAGTTTTTCTTACTGTCTGTGACCACAAATTAGTTTTTAAGTAAAAAATTTCCCTTGTATGACAATAGACAAAAATTAGCACAAGAAACAGGAGTATATCTTATCTCTTGACTTGGGGTCATTTTTAGAAGTCCTATTTCGTATTTTACTTCATGTTTTCTATTATAGGTTGGTTCTTAAAAATACCCTATAATTACAAGATAGCCTGGTAGTTGGAGTTACTGATAGAGAAGCTATAAATTGTGTTTTGTTTGTTCAAGTAAAGAACAGTTAAGTTTTCCATACTGTGCAGTTATCACTAAAAGCTGAAGATCTAATTGGCTTTTACGTGGGATTAAAGAGTTGGGAGTAGCTGGGCATAGTGGCGCACACCTTGAATCCCAGTACTAGAGAGGCAGAGGCAGGTGAATCTCTGTGAGTTAGAGCCCAGCCTAGTTTACATAGTGAGTTCCAGGACAGCAAAGACATGTAGAAAGACCCTGTCTCAAAACCAAAACAAACAACATTAACAACAAAAAGATTTGGGAGCTACCTTGTTCAGTAAAATAGAATTGAATATTTAACTAGACATGACTGAACAGTTAGTAGAAATAAGGGGGAAAGTTTTTTTTAAAGGCGTGCTTCTCATGCAGAGGCTATAGGTTTAGTTTCCAGCACGAGAGGAGTCTGACACCCTCTCCTGAGCTCCATGGGCACCAGGTACACACTTGGTGAACATCTTGGTGTGCATATATATAGGCAGGCATAAACATACATAAAATAAATGTAAACTTTGCGGGGGAGGGGGAGGGAAATGGGAAGCGGTTGTGGGGACGAGGCAGAAATCCTTAATAAATAAATAAATTAAAAAAAATAAATAAATGTAAACTTTGTTAATGGATTGGTTTACAGTAGGCTACTTTTCTTGTAAAAGGCAAAACCTATTTATCTATCTATCTGTCTATCTATTTATTTATATTTTAACTGATTGCTGTGAATCATCTTTGCTCTGGTCTATGTAGACTAAAACAATGTCATGCCCCTTCATTCCATAAAATCATTGGATACTATGTATATTCTAGTTGTAGAATTATCATGGAGCTTCTTTAATAATTTGAGAGACAGAAGAGAATCTTCGTTGTAAAAATGAGTTCACATTATTTTTTTAAGATTTTATTGCTTTTTTTTTGATCATATGTATCACCTCTCTTCCCAACTCTTCTCATATCACCTCCTCTTTCTACCCACCAAACTGGTTTTCTGTTTTTTGTTTGTTTTTGTTTTTCTTTTCACCTTTCAGGACAACTTTTAATGGATACATGCAAATATACAATTTGTATGGATGAATGGGATACTACTTGATGTTTTAATTCATGAGTATATCATATAATGTTTAAATCAAATTCAAAACATCTGAAATATTGTTATTCCTGAAATATTGTTATTCCTCAGCCCCCTGTTTGGTAGGGACAGGTAGAGGGGCAGTGTTAGGAATTGACCCTAGGGTTTTGCTTGTGCTAGCCAAATACTTTACTTTTGAGCTACAACCTGCCTCTTGATTTCTGATATTTATGGTATATACCATCATGCCAGGCCCTGCTCTTAGTCTTATCTTTTGATAATAGCCATTCTTTTATCAAACAGCTAATTATAAGTTTGATTTTTATATCCCTGATTAGTGGAACTGAATATTTTTTCCAAATAGCTGTTGATCATTTGTTTTTCTTTTTGAAAAAAAAAATTCTAAGAGATCTTTTATCTGTCCCCTATCCACCAAGGACAGGATCATACCATCCTCTCGACTTTTCATCTTGAGAACCTCTTGCCTCTACCTCCTCCCTTCTGGAATTTCCCCCAAACAATGCCAGCGCTCTAACTCCAGAACTATGGAGCCCTCACTTTACAACTGTGTGCAGACAGGCCTAGTTATGTTTCCTGGTTTTTAAAATAGAATTGGTTTTTTTAGTTTTATAGTTGAATTTTTGAAATTCCTTATCTATTCTGGATAATAACTTCTAATCAGATATATAGTTTGTACATATTTTCTCCCATTAGTGTATTTCTTCCTTGTCTCTGTGTCTTTCTGTCTTTGTCTCCTCTCCACCTCCCATCAAAAACAACAAAAACAATTTGCATTTTTCAATGTTCCTAAAACTGAGTTTTTCTTAAGGCGAATAAGGAAGCTTCATTTTCTGGTACCTGACAAAATATAGTAACCATCTTGCTCATAAAATTGAGTGCCTTCTTGTTCCTACTTGGACCCTACTAGAATAAATTCTCTTAACATGTTTTTGGCTGTACTGAAAATATTGTATGCCCAGCATTGTAATGAAGAAGATACCAAATCCAGGCCTTAGAAATTTTGTGACATGTTATACTGTGTTACCTGTTTGTTCTGCTTTTCTTGAATATTTTCATTTATAAATGATCGGACATGACACTGGATAATGCCTGATTGAGTTTAGTCTGTTTAATAAACAACATCCCTATTTAATTTAGATGAGGTGACTGAGATTTAGAGACATCAAGTAGCATTCTGTAGTATTCGGTCTGCACTTAACACATTTTTTGGAGTTGGTACATGGCTATCACTTAGATCAGTCTCTGCTACTAAAAATTGCCTAGGTTGCATGCACACATCTAAAATGAATTGTTTGTGAAAGGCAGTCTGTGCAAGTCCACAGCTTTTCTCTGTGTTTATGTTGACTCTGTAAGCGAACCCTAGTTTGTTGTGTTTTATTTTCATCATGGAGCTCTTTAGTAATACACTTCACCAAGAAACTGTGCTGTCACTGGACCCACTTACAAAGGTGGAATGTTGGGAGAGATGTGGGAATAATTTCATCAACTTTCTCCCCTGGTGGTGATTTACAAACTTTCAGATTATGAAGTGGAACTCTATTGGTTACTTCAGAAAAACATCAGTAGTGCCTTGTCTAGATTCTATATGGAAAGCTTATCTTTATTTTTGTTTTAAGATTTATTTAAAAATACTTAAGTGTTTGTGTGTTTTGCCTGCGTGCACATGTGCACCATGTGCATACCTAGTGCTCATGGAGGTCAGAAGAGAGTGATGGATCATTCACTTGGTAGTAGAGTTAGAATTCTGAGCTGCCAAGTGGTACTGGTAATCAGACCAGTGTTCTTCAGTTTGTTTGAGACAGGGTTTCTCTGTTTTGTAATTGGCTATTCTGGAACTCGCTATGTGTAATGGACAATGCTCATTCATTTCTTGGCTGCCTAGACCTGAATAATCAAACAAAACTATATTAATATACAGAACTATTAATATACTATATTAATATTAATTAATATACTAAATATTAATATATACAACACTGTTTGGCCTAATAGCTCAGGCTTCTTATTAACTAACTCTTGCACCTTAAATTAAGCTATTTCTATTAATTTGTGTATAACCACGAGGCTGTGACCTATCTGGGCATCTGTCTTCTTCAGCAGCTACATGACCTCTCCTTGGCTCCGCTTACTCTCTCTCTCTCTCTCTCTCTCTCTCTATCTCTATCTCTATCTCTATCTCTATCCCTTGCAGTCTGGCTATATTCTGTACTGCCATAGACAAAAGCAGTTTTATTCATTAACCAATACAAGCAATGCATAGAGAAGATCATCCCCCATCATCTATGTAGACGAGGCTGGCCTGAAGTTCATGGAGGTCCACGTACTTCTGCCTCTCAAGTGCTGGGATTAATGTCGTCCGCCACTCTGCCTAGCTGCAGCCAGTGTTCTTAACCAGACTGGGCCTTGAACTCAGAGATCCACCTGCTTATCTTTGCCTCCTGAATACTAGAATTAAAGACCTTCACCACCGTGTCTGACTTACTCAACATTTCTTTTTTTTTCTTTTTTTTTTTTTTTTGATTTTTTTCGAGACAAGGTTTCCCTGTAGCTTTTGGTTCCTGTCCTAGAACTAGCTCTTGTAGACCAGGCTGGCCTCGAACTCACAGAGATCCGCCTGTCTCTGCCTCCCGAGTGCTGGGAATAAAGGCATGTGCCACCACCGCCCAGCTTTACTCAACATTTCTAATGTTTTAATAAATCATATTATCAATGCCTATTATAGATGAATTTTAAATGATTTACACTTAAACTAAAACTATTTCCTAATGCTATTTTATAATGAAAGGATTATATAAGAAAAAGTTTATGTTGATTTTGATCAGTTTAGTTTTGGATAAATTTGAGATACTCTTATAGGTAGTTCTGATTGCTCAGTATGGTTGGTATATTTATATTCTGTCTTTTTCATCAGCCATTATAAAGGGAGACAAACCTTGATTCATTAAAAGTTTGTGTGTTGACACATGCCTTTGATCGCAGCACTCAAGAGACCAAGACAGGGAATTGCTGAGTTCAAGGATTGCCTGGTCCACATAGTGAGTTCAAGAATAGACAGGTTTGATTCTGAGGACACCATAGAGAAAATAAACGCACTGATCAAAGAAAACTGGAAAGCCAACAAATTCTCATCACAAAACATTCAGGAATTATGGGACACAATAAAAAGACCAAACCTAAGAATAATAGGAATAGAAGAAGGAGAGAAGTCACAGCTCAAAGGCCCAGAAAATATTTTTTAACAAAATTATGGAAGAAAACTTTCCCAACATAAAGAAAGGTATTCCTTTGAATATTCAAGAAGCATACAGAACACCAAACAGACTGGATCAAAGAAAAACATCCCCTCACCATATAATAATGAAAACACAAAATATACAGGTTAAAGAAAGAATATTAAGAGCTGCAAAGGAAAAAGGGCAAGTAACTTATAAAGGTAAACCGATC